GCCCAGTTTGTATTTGTGCCTGGGATTAGTTTGTACCAGGTGCAGGACCCTTGCATTTTGACTTGTTGAAGCTCATGCAGTTTGCTCCAGCCCATTGCTCAAGCCTGTCAAGGTCCCTCTCAAGTGAGGCCACCGCACCACAGAGTTTGGTGTCGTCGGCAAGCTTGCTGAGGGTGCATTCAAAGCCATTGTCCATGTCACTGACAGAGGTGTTGAACAGCACTGGACCCAGAACAGATCCCTGAGGAACTCCACTTGTTGGGAACTCTGCTTGTCACTGGTGTCCACATGGACATTGAGTCACTGACCACAACTCTTTGAGTGTGACCTTCCAGCCAGTTCTTTATCCACCGAACAGTCCATCCGCCAAATCCACATTTCTCCATTTTAGAGACAAGGATGGGATGGTGTAATGCCTTGCACAAGTCCAGGTAAATGACATCAGTCACTCTTCCTATGTCAATCAGCACTGTAACTTTGCCATAGAAGGCCACCAAACTAGTTAGGCACGACTTGCCCTTAGTGAAGCCATGTTGGCTGTCACCAACCACTTCATTGTTTTTCTTGTGCCTTAGTAAGGCTACCAGGAGAATCTGTTCCATAATTTTGCCTGGCACAGAGGTAAGGCTGACTGGTCTGTAGCTCCCTGGGGTTTCTTTGCTTCCCATTTTTTTAAAAATGGGGACTAAGTTTACCCTTCTCCAGTCTGTGGGAACCTCATCAGGCTGCCATGACTTCTTAAGTATGATGGCTATACATATATTCAAGTAAGTTTTAAAACTTAGCATATCAAGACAAAATTCCAGTAAATACCCTGCGTAATTCTTAACTAGTCTTCTTCCTCCAAGAGAAGAATTACAGAATCACAGAATCATTTAGGTTGGAAAAAATCTTTAAGATTGAGTCCAATCATTAACTTAGCAATGCCAGGTGGAACACTAAACCACGTCCTGAAGCACCACGTCTACTCATCTTTTAAATGCCTTTAGGGATGGTGACTGCACCACTTCTCTGTGTTGATTGTTCCAACGCTTGACAACTCTTTCGGTGAAGAAATATTTCCCAACAGCCAATCTAAACTTTCCCTGGCACAACCTGAGGTCCTTTCCTTTCATAGAATCACAGGATGTTAGGAGTTGGAAAGAACCTCTAGAGATCAATGAGTCCAACCCACCTGCCAGAGCACAATCCCCTAGGGCAGGCCACACAGGTACACATCTAGGTGAGTTTTGAAGTTCTCCAGAGAAGGAGACTCCACAATCTCTCTGGGCAGCCTGTTCCAATGCTCTGTCCCCCTCACAGTAAAGAAGTTTCTCCTCATGTTGAGGTGTAACTTCCTGTGTTCTAACTTAATCCCATTATTTCTTGTTCTATTGCTGGGCACCAGGAGATTGTCTCCTTCCTCTTGACACCTACGCCTCAGATATTTATATACTTTAACAAGATCCCCTCTCAGCCGTCTCTTCTCAACACCAAACAGCCCCAGTTCTCTCAGTCTCTCTTCATAGGAGAGATGTTCAAGTCCCTTCATCATCCTCATAGCTCCCCGTTGGACTCTCTCCAGTGGGTCCCTGTCTCTCTTGAATTGGGGAGCCCAAAACTGGACACACTATTCCAGGTGTGGTCTCACCAGGGCAGAATAGAGGGGGAGAAGAACCTCCCTAAACCTGCTGGACACACTTTTCTTAATACACCCCAGGATCCCACTGGCCCTCTTGACCACAAGGGCACGTTGCTGTCCCATGGACAACTCACTGCCCACTGGGACTCCAAGGTCTTTCTCCATGGGGCTGCTTTCCAGCAGGATGACCCTAATCTGTACTGGTGCCTGGTGTTATTCCTCCCCACATGCAGGACTCCACACTTGTCCTCACTGAACTTCATAAGGTTCCCCTTTACCCAGCTGTCCAGCCTGTCTAGATCTCTCTGGATGGCAGCACAGCCTTCCTGGGTGTCAGCCACCCCTCCCAGTTTTGTATCACCAGTGAACTTGCTGAGGGTGCACTCTATCCCCTCATCCAGGTCATTGAAGATATTGAACAAAATTTGACCCAGCACTGATCCCTGGGGAACACCACTGGCCACAGGCCTCCAATTTGACTCTGTGCCCCTGATCACAACCCTCTGAACTCTGTTGCTGAGCCAGTTCACAATTCACCTCACAGTTCAATCATTATTCCCGCATTTCTTGAGTTCACCTACGAGGATGTTATGGGGGATAGTATCGAAAGCCTTACTGAAGTCAAGGTATATGACATCCATTGCTCTCCCTTCATCTACCCATTTAGTCACGTCCTCATAGAAGGATATCAGATTTCGTCTTATTGCTTGTTACTTGAAAGAAGAGAGCAACCTCCATCTCGCTACAAGTAGTTGTAGAGTGATAACATCTCCCCCAGGTCTACTCCAGGCTAAAAAAACCCAGTTCCTTCAGCTGCTCCTCATGGCACATGTGCTCTACATCCTTCATCAATTTCACTGCTCTGAACATGCTCCCCGCACCTCAAAACTGAACACAGGTCTCGAGGCTGATGGGCCAAGGCTAAGTGTATGAGTTTCAATAAGGCCAAATACCAGATTCTGCACTCTGATCACAAGAACGCCCAGCAGCGCTACAGGCCTGGGGAGAAGTGGCGGTAAAGCTCCCCAGCAGAGAGGAATCTGGGGGTGTTAATGGACAGCCAGCTGAACATGAGCCACCAGTGTGCCCAGGTGGCCAAGAAGGCCAACGACATCCTGGCCTGGGTCAGAAATAGTGTGGCCAGCAGGACGAGGGAGGTGATTTTATCCCCATACTCGACACTGGTAGGGCCACACCTCAAACCCTGTGTTCAATTTTGGGCCCCTTGCTACAAAACATTGAGGTGCTGGAGCATGTCCAAAGGGTAACAGAGTTGATGAAGGGTCTAGAGCACAAGTCTTATGAGGAGAGGCTGAAGGAACCGGGGTTGTTTAGCTTGGATACAAGGAGGTTGAGGGGACATCTTACCACTCTCCACAACTACCTGAAAGGAGGTTGCAGAGAGCAGGGATCAGTCTGTTCAACAAAGTAACTAGTGATAGGAAAAGAGGAAATGCTTTGAAGTTGTGCCAAGGGAGGTTTAGATTGAATATTAGGAAGAATTTCTTCACTGAAAGGGTTATCAGGCATTGGAATTAGTTGCCCAGGGCAGTGGTGGAGTCACTGGAGGTGTCCTGGAGGTATTCAGGAGTCATGTAGACATAGTGCTTAGGGATACGGTTTAGATGAGGACTTGGCAGTGTTTAATGGCTGGACTCAATCTTATACATCTCTTCCAATCTAGGCAGTTCTGTGACTTCAAGGAGCAGCCTCACCAATGCCAAGCACAGGGGGACAATCACTTCTCTACTCCTGCTCGCCATACTACTTCTGATACAAAGAAAAACACTGTTTCCAACTTGCAAGAACACACATCATAAGTAATTAAAACAGACGAGCCTAGGGTTTGCTTTTTGGTAAAGCTTTACAGACATAGAAATTTGCCAAGTTACTTTAATTTAAATAAAGAGCTCTTTACGCAGATTAGGAGGAGTAGCTGAGTTCAAAACAATCAGGTTACATTTTCACTACATTTCCTAGCTATAAAGACAGGAACAGAATGAATAGAGTATATCTGTAAGCCCCACATTCAATTGGGCAGTGGAATTTATTTACCTTTATTAATATGGAGTTAAACGGCTGACATAAAAAGGCACTGTTTCCACCTCTCAATTTTTAATACCAACCTGCAATAGCATCTTCCTCAACAGGGTCTGCACCAATCTATATTAAGATTTGCAAGTTTGTCTATTCAAATGACTTTATATTCCATATCAAGAGCAGGATCAACATTATTGTAACTAGTTTTAGTGATTAGTACATAGTCATGGGACAAAAAAAATAAAAAGCTGTGAATATAAACAAGTGTTCTCCAGTACCATCCATTCAGTAGTCACCCAACTATGAACATTCCAACTTTGTTTCCGTGGGAGAAAACACTACTGAGAAGTAGTACTCGATACTAACTTACAGTGTACTGATCACTCTGCACTAATAATTGTGTATTGTGTTAGCTCTTGGCACATTAAAAACAAACTGACCTACTTTTCTTCGAAAAAAAGAGCACTGTATGTCGTGCCTTCTGTGTACTGAGTCCATACACAAGAAAACGCTGTAAAACCATATGATGAAGATGCATGATCTCTCTTACTGGTAACTTTTCCTGGTTATCTGCAGCCTTTGAAAACTAAAACTCTCAGCCCAAATTTTGATTCTGAAATACTTTTACAAAACATATTTTCCTACTTTCCATTTTATTTCAGTGATTTTATACATGTTTTCACTAAAAATGCTGACTTACCTGTACGAAAAGATATTGCTGTGATGGGACCCCAGTCTTGCTGAAACTTCATCAGAGTTTCGTCAAATTTAATATTATGTACAATGATATGACCAGATACAAGACCAACTGCAACAACATCTACTGCCGGAGCCTGCAAGAAAAATTTTACAGCTACCGAAATGAAAAAGGAAAAGCCTGTTGCTACACTGCTAATACCAAGCAATGCATCTAAGTCCAGGACAAACAGTAAAGAAACAAGGCATCTCACATGAGATCTTCTAGCTATATTGCCTTAACACATGACTGGACACCTGATAAATCTAAACAAAAAATGAGAAATCCAAGGTTTTGCCCTTAAGTCGCCACTGGATGGAACAACTCTGTTTCCGTGAATTGGAACTCCTTTCAAAAACACCTCACTTAGAAGTTTTCAGTAGTTCTAGTAGACCACTAAACGTACCACAAACTCCCATAGCTAGACGTTTTACCTAGGGCAACTGCAGTTCCTTGTCAAAGCTGTTATCACTGCTACCAGTAAGTTTTAATTAATTTTTTTATCAACAAAACCATAGCAAATACAATTACAAAATCTTTCCCTGAATCAGCAAAATCTATATTTTTAAAATAAATTTATTTTGTTTTGGAGATAAATAAGCTACCAGTATAACAGAAGTCACACGATCCGCAAGCACCTTGCAAGCAAACCGTTTCTGTGAATTCATGACATCACTCAGATTTCAGATGTGATCAGCATAAAACAGCTAAGATACTAAATGCAATGAACTAGGAATGGAGGAAGTGCAGATAATAAGCCTTAAAGTCTACCTTTCTTCAATGCCTAAAATGTTCAGGAGAGGGTTATTAAAATCACCTGAGAGAATACAAGTTGGCTTTATTGCTGTAATTTTAGACAATGATATTTAACCTGCTATTCTTGAAAAGTTATGTAAGAAAATAAGGTACCAAAAATACTAACTTGTTCAAGAGTTGTGACCGCTAAGTGCCATCCTGGAAATGAGTATAAGAGTTTGCTGGAAAACAAACAAAAAACATAAATCAGTTAACCCTTGGGGATTTTCCACAACACAACGGACTCTTTATATGCATTTACAGAGAAAAGTATGTCAGCTTTTTGTACTTATAAATCAGTTGAATTTAAGAATAAGTGATGCTAATAAGTACAGTTAAAAATAAAACTTATGGTTATTTTTAACTGAAAAAGTTAGTGTCATGCACTAATAATACCTTAAAGGTGACATAATTATGTAACACAAATAGAGCAGAAGATCCCTTCTACACCAGTTGCTCCCCATACATTTCAGCTCTGAACACACCTCTTCAGAACTCTTAGTAACAACAAAAAAAGCCAGTCTTAGTTCAAATTCTAATAAAAACAAATCCTTTGTTTGCAGAGTAACTTCCCTAAATGAAGACGCCAACGGATACTACAAGCGTACTCCATCTTGTTTCTTTCTGAAATGGTAACAACTAAAATGTGAAGCAGAACTTTTATCACCAAGTGACTACCCTTACCAGGAGTGAAATTATGAAGACAGTATTTAGAGCTGACATGATTAAAGAAAAATTCCATCACTACAGATAAAGGTTGTTATTCTCAGAAGACTGCTAGCAGCCATGTGTTAAACACCTCTTATTTTACTTTCTTGACAGAGACCACCAAACTTTCTCCTCAGTTCTTTCAATTTACTTTGTTGTCTGACTGTGCCCATACCTATCTACAAAATAATCTATGTAGGGAAAAAACAGCCTAAAATAGAAATTGCTTAACCCAGCAACATTGCTGAAAGCAGTAACTTAAGTCTTTTACACAACTAGAAGAGCAACTAAGCCACACAAGGAAGGCTTTTTGTCATCTAGGATGTATTACATCTCAGATGCTGCGACAGGCATTGAAGAGATGTAACTATGAGACACTTACTTTTCTGTATTTTTAGGTTATTCCTATTTCTTAATTTATGCAGACTACATGGCATTTCCAAAACATTAGACTATGTAATAAGAAATTAGTAATAACATCACTGAAAAGTATACAGTAGTTATGAGAATAAAACACTGAGCTATGCAAGTTGAGTTAACACTTATTTACAGTATGTACATTTTCTCAACATGTAGGTAAGTTCACCATAGCTGTAACTTTCATAAAAGTAGCTGATTGTGGTAGGTATGAAATACTGCCATTATAGATTGTGCTTTACTGGGACATGTTTAGATTCAACTACATGTCTACACATCTCTTACTTAAGGATCAAATGCTAGTAATCACTTTGTCACTACCTGCCAGCACTTCCTTGGACCTGTAACAACCAAAAAATTAAGCTTGGAAGAAGGGAGGCAGAAGGCCTGAACATGCATTTGCTATTATTTTAATTATTTTCATGGGAAATCTCTGTAATTCCAAGAAGTTAAAAAAAATCCAACTGTAATTAAAAAATAATAATTTCTGAACAGCCCCTGACATCTGTGAGAAAACAACACACAACTTGAAAGGCATCAGCATTCAGGGAGCAGCAACATTCTTTGTTCCTGGAGATAGACCAACTGAAAACTTGTGCCAAAGGACTCAGTAAAACGTTCCATGTTCAAAACCTACCGTACTTGAAAGCATTATTTGTTGCCTACTGAACTATTTGGAGCATGAAGTATAACCCAGCTATTAAGAATCTTACTTGGATCTTATATTCCATAGCTGCAAGCTCCCTTGCTCACTCCCAAGGAGAATTTTATTCAAATAGGTACTGGGATGCAGAATTGCAGAAACTGCAAAAGTTGCCTTATCAAAATCCACTTGAAGATACTCCTCTGCAAAAAAAAAAATAAAATAAAATTAAGAAACAATGTTAGCATGCCTATCCCTACAAATGTGCAGATTTACCATCCCTTGCAAATGTAAAGGCAGAACCGATGTTTACTCTGTATAAATCCCATAACTGGTGTTTCTTGCATTAAATGATTAGCTAATGCTTAATAGGACACGCTACACTTGCTTAATTCTAACATCTGTTGGCTTTAAGATATATTTTTCCCTATAAGCCTACCTAGCACAACAATGCTGGCAAAGCTGTAGTGATTTCTATCTTTCTGAAGGATTCCTGCTCTTGCCTGAGCAAAACATCTCGTCTGACTAGCATGCCTTTTGTTTGTTATAGCAACTTCAGATCTCTAAAGCCTGTCTGCAACCACTTTTTCAGACCCAGCATCCAGGGAATGACATTGGTCACACCCATGATAATGCTTTCTAAAGGAAAAAAATCAGGGCACTGAAACACGATTTCATTAAAGCACTTTGCAATGACATGAGAAGATTCCAACACTACCAAAAGATTAGTTGTAAGAATTTAGTCTTACATAGACTGGTAAATACCAAGGAACTACAGGATTTCAGAGATGGTGCCACAGTCTCTACCAGAAAACACAACACTAAAATGCTACTTCCGTATTAGCAAATCTCTTTATATCTATATGGAACTTTAATGGGTCTTCAATGGGTCTCTGCATGTGGTGCAGGATTCATCCTGAAAAATTACTGCAAGATTAGGACATCAGGTTACCATTTAAGAAGCACTATCATTTAAGGATTCTAAGAACAAACTATATTAAAAAACACCTTTTTAAAATAAATTACTGGATGTTTAACAATGCCACCCTATAAAGTAGTAACAAAAATAAAGTGTCTCTCACCTTCTGACTGTATGTTCCAAACAATAAGAACATTATCAATATCCACAGAGATGACATGATCACCAAAAGGCTGCAGAAGGTGTATCCTTGCCTTGTGGCCTTTGTAGGTATGAACTACCTATAATTTCAGAATAATAGAAATGTTTTCAGTATAAGCTACTGAAGTAGTGTATCATGTTAAAACAATACTTGAGGACTGCTAACATGTCAGAAGCAAGTTTAAATAAAATACCCAGAAGGGCCACACAACTTTAAGTGAAAGATATGTAATTTTCTTTGATATTTAAAACCATTGGCAAAAATATTTTAACTACATTTTTTAATTACTTAGTTTCATTTAACTTCACTTACTTGAGTTAACAATTTATTTTTAAGTAACTACTTATTATAATAAATACATCAAATACAGGTCAGGCATTTCAGAATTTGCTCTTATTATCCTATTTTAAGCTTTTAAATCCTTGTTCTACAGGTTTTGTTTCACTAAAATTGAAGGTACTGAATATGTACTGAAACAGACACTGGCAGAAAATTAAGTGTCTTGAAAATAGTAACCACAAACACCACACAACTGTTTTGTACTACTAAGCAATAGGTAAACTGATAAAAACCTCTTTGTTCCTGGCAAAGGCATGGAGAATATTGTCATATGAAGCAAATATCAACATGCGGTCTGCTGCCAAACATGTTATGTCTTGTGGCAAAGCATTACCTGTTAATCAAACAGAAGAAAAGTTCAGCAAATTTCAGGTTCATAACAAAAGAGAAAGCTTGACAGTATTTTTATTTAGCATGGTGACCCCCCAAGAAAGCTCTCTGGTCGAGTGATGCATTCAATTTCTTAGAGAAATGCACACATTCCAAATGAATGCAAATGTTATCATAACATTCATTATACCAGTAACAACATAGTAACATTAGACTGTGACAGATCACAAGGCTATTCTTCTGAAGAACATTTAATAACAAATTACTGAATTATTACTGTAAGTAAGGTCACAAAGTTAGCTTCATGATGGCTTATAAAAAAAGTTATCTCAACATAACAATGTTGTGGACTGTAAGAGTCCCACAGCCCACTGCATTGGAAAAAAACAGATGACAAAGCTTCAGCATTAACAATGTATAATAGGTTAAGACATTCTGCAGACCCTGCAGCTAGGGACTCAATCCTGCATCCATTTCCTGACTACAGCTAAAGACACCAGGAATTTACTGCTCTAAGACTGTATCTCACTCTCCATACTGTGAATCGTTCAGAAAAAGTATCTACTATTGCGATCTGCTACTTTACTACCTCAAATGGCAAGAGTCAAAGATCCAGACCACACTGAGAAGCTGGTGGCGTGGTCCTAAATGGCAGAAAACTGAAAAACTACTCAAGATCTAGAGAAAGACTAAACAAATCCTGTTATTCCAATGTCTCTTCTCATACTGTGTGCTGTGGACCCCTGCCACTTTCCAGTTCCTCAGTGTCCTTCCTGAAAGAGAAAGGGGAGTGGCTGGATGTGAAGCATCACACTTACCAGGCATCACAGTCCAGGTATGGTCTCACCAGCATGAAGTACAGGAGAAAAACAGCTTTCCCTGATCTGCTGGGCACACTCCTAATGTACCTCAGTAGCCAGCTTGCCTTATTCACAGTTACTGCATTGTTGGTCCATGTTCAACCTGGCAGCAGCACAGCCCCAGCTCCTTTCCAGCAGGATGCCACACAACTAGTCAGTTCCCAGCTTGTTCTGTCCCAGGTGCAGGATTCTACACTTGCCCTTGCTGAACCTGGGGAGGTTTCTGCTGGCCCAAGCGTAAAGCTTTTGCAACACCTCCCTGGATAGAAGCACTGCCACTGTGGGTGTCAGCTACTCCTCCTACCATGGTATCATCTACTAGGAGCGTATGCCTTCTCATCGCCCAGGCTGTTGGTGAAGTGCTGAACAACACCACCCTGCTGTTGACGCCTAGGGGGCTACGATTGTTACCAACTGCCAGACTGACGCCAATTCATCAAGTCATCTCCTGCAGTCCAGCCAACTTTTCACATACCCTGAAGGCTTTTAGCCCCATCCTCACCACCTGTTCTGTTCCACCTAAAACACAGCCTTCTAGTAACCACAAAAACAAACAAAGAAGAAATCTGAAATTAACAGCTTTATTCACTAACAACTCTTTAAGGCCTTGGGGTGTTCTTGGAAGAACAAGATGACAAGGATAGGAGGTTCACCAGGTATATCCCCAAGAGAACACAGTTACAGATAAAACAGCAGTCTCATTTCCAAATTGAACGCCAGTATTTCTGAGACTCCTTTCAGTATATTTCAGTGGAAATATGAATACATCCAATTAACTTTCTATTTTTGAGTTGAGAATCAAATGCAGATGTCAGATTCATTAATAAAACAAAACAAGAGTGAACAATCTGCGTATACTTACTCACAGCAACAATACCAAGCTTCTTCACCTGCAATTAAAATGTTGAAAAGTTTTTAATGATTGTTTAAAATGAATTTGCTATAAACAGAAATTCAAAAGTCTAGGAACCAACCTAGATGAGATAAGGACTCTGCATGTCCTGTAAGACAGAAAAATTATCCATTTCATTTTACAGCACCATCTACAGGAAAAGCCCACAGACAGCAGGTCTAGAGGAATGGGACAAATGCTTGCCAAAAGACAACTATTTAGCAACAGTAAGTTGTGCTTCTTGATATACTTTACCCTATTGCTCAGGAAACTAAGCACATGTTTAGAATCTCTGCAGAGCTTGAGCAAAACTGTTTTCATATAATCTCTGCCTCTAATTTATTTCCATTACAACCATACTATGCTATTATCTTCTGTTCACGCAAAATTTTCTTCAGAGTCCTCTTTGTCCAGTGATGATCATTACTATTTTAGTTAAACATCTGTGGAGAAGACTGAAAGGAGAGAACACTAAGAGATCACCACAAAAGCACTGGAAAATCTATGCACCATAATCACGTGATCGACTTCTGTCTTCTTACTATTTCTATACACTTAAAATACTTTGATGGTACAGCAAGATATCACATGCTTTCATTCCACTTCACTAAATTATGCTCATTTTCTTCCACACCGAAATTTTAATACAACCTAATGGAGTGCCCCTCAAAAAACTGTAGCCCACAAATGCTAAACTGCAGCTATTCAATCTGCACGTGGTTTATCTAGCAACGAAAGAAAACCCTCAGCATCTGGGCGCTCCTCTGCCCGACGGATGGGCTGTGCTGCATCCGCCGGGACACACAGAAACCCGCCGGCGCTGCCCACGCGGACAAACAAGCCCGTTCTGGCCTGTTTAAGCAGCAG